AACTGACTCACAAAAATATTTTAGACAGAGGAAAAGTGATTTTTCAACTGACTCAAAAATAATTTTTATCCCTCAGAAATTAAATTGTTTTGTGCAGAAGATATTGTCATTCTTACAAAAAAATTCCTAGACTCAATAAAAATAAAAAGTCTTCGGAGTCTTCGCTTCACTTCAAAAAAACTGCGTAGGGGTGAGCGTGAATTATTGACGAAACTTCTTGATGCCCTTCTTTGCTTTTCTCGATCCGAATAAATATTCGAATATTGATTGAATTTAATCATCCTGTTTGTCATTCATCAAAACAAAAAATAATCCAAAAAAAATAATAAGGAGGTTTGAACTCATGTCCAACAATTTCCCCCTTTTTGATAATGACAAACATGGTTGAGAAAAAGCAAAGAAAAAAATACTTCCCTTAATTGATTCCCCCTGCAAGGTTAGAGAAGTGCAGCAAAAAAAAATAATCGGAGTAATAAGCGGAAAAACAATTTTGAAAAACAAGTTTTCTCAATGATCCTTCCTTCCCCCTTTTGGCATTATCAACCGAAAACCTTCCCCCTTAATTGATGCCGGGATTTTGAAGGAAAAAATTTGTAAGAGTTTTCAAAAGAACTTCTAACACGAATTGCCACAAAGGGACAATAAGTACTAAAAGAGAACCATATTAGCAACAACATCATTCACCAAAAGAGTTATAACAACAATAGCAAATAACAATGTATCATAAAAAGTTAAGATAGAAGAGAAAATAATCAAAGAGAGTTCGCCGGACGAGCTCCTCCGCTGAAGCTGTGATGCGGGCCACGATAGGAGCGAGATTGCTCAAGACGAGTCATCCTCTCGTTGAGCTGGCGAACGTCATCTCGGATGCATGTGAGAGTATCGAAGATCTTCTTCACCCAAGATGGTTCCAGTGCTTCATCTCTCGGACGAGTCCTCCGTTGACGAGTGACGCGCTCCGTGGCTCGACTACCTCCGGCTTGAGATGACTCAGCTTGATTCTCGTTTTGGCTTTCTTCTTCTTCTTCGGCGACTATCAAGTCCAGATTTGGTGCAGCATCGCCCTCCTCTCGATACACGATCCGGGAGCTGAGTGTCCCGAGTAAAGTCTATTTTGCAATGAGCAAGGATATGCATAATGGGGATGGCAAAACGGAGATGGGAAAAGCGAGTGCCATCGCTAAGTGCAACGATAAAGAAGTGAATCCAAAACATATGAGAAAATGTATTGTTGGACGCGTTGAATTAAAGTGAGATTAATGACACTCGGGTTGCTAGAGTTTCTAAACTTGAGGTCACGATGATCTAACCCGAGTTGTCGCCATATTGCCTCATCTTGGAATGTTTCATCCAAGTTTTCGGTAATTTCACCGCGACGAAGGCCAAACAAAGAAGTCAAACCGGCACCGTCAATGAAAACGGTTTTGCCGTCAACATAGGAAATGAGAGATGGCGAACTTCCATTAGTGGTACGAAGATTTGCATAAAATTGACGTATAAGATTTGGACAGAAAAATTCATACGTCAAATGAATGAAACGAAGCAAGCCTTGCTGAAGGAATATAGACTTACTCGGGGCATAGGTCGCCGATTTGAAGAGGTCCTTGTTCAC